TGCATTCGCTTGCTGTGTTATGAATGCAAGCAAAACTTGTGCTGGATTGTCCCTCCTCCACTTGTGCATAGAGGCATGATGCGACTCCACTGGGTTTGAGGTATAGCACCCAAAACGTGACGCACCAAACAGAAAGGTAGCCCAATGTGCGGCTAATCCATCCCTCTCCAAGTATTCTTTCCCCCCAGGGCACTCTTCCTCGATTTTGTCCATGTAGCCCCGCAGCACATCTCTGGTCAATGCTGCAGCCGCGAGCTCGATCTTGCCATCACAGTCTGAACCAAACTTTGAGTTAAAATTCCTCACCAAGTGTGTGATGCAAAATGCCTCACGCGCCTCTGGCAGCAGCCGCTTTCCATGCTTTTCCGCGATCATGCATCAGTGTAAACCTTGGAGTTTTGATCTCAGGGGCAGCTAGCTTCAGCTGGCTCAAAAAATACTCACACGAATCCGCACTCTCACCTTCTACCCATGCACTCCCTAACCTCACCAGCTTATGTTCGCAGTCAATCATGCATGCATTCAGAGTATGGCCTCGCCATACACCTTTGTTGTGACATCCATCTACAAATACGATCGGAAAGCAATTTTTTACTACCTCACGGACTCCTGGGTAAATCACTGCAGCACGATGGAACCTATTCTCGTTCAGCAACAATGACACAACGCTCGATGGGTTATGTCTCTTGAAAACATCAAGGATGCTACCAATGTACTGGAAACCCGACTCTCCACCTAGAGGATCCTCTCGAGTGACATCATCTATTGATCGGCCACACGTAGCATTGTAGCAGTCAACGCCTAACTTTTCCCGCACCATCTCTCGTAGTCCAACAGGTCTAATGACTGTATGAGCACGTACTTCACGCGCCACTTGATTAACCTGTTCCCTCCTAATCCGACCAGGGCGTGGCACACACGTGTGTGCATGCTGCAGCGTCACTGATCTCACACTAAAGCTGCGATTTCCAGGCCCGGTAGCTACAATCCGAAAGGGACAAAACCCCTCTGGTGCTTTGGCCTCATTCTTGGGCCAGTCTTTTCCTTTCATGGAAGGGCAACACACGTCAAGGCGTTCTGGCCTGTTGTCCCTATACCAGGGCTTGAAATTGAACTTATCGCCATATTTCTCTATCTCATCTCTGGCAGCGCTTACGGATGAATAAATTTTCCCTTGGTAAATGTTGATCTCCTCCGTCTGTTGTCCAAGAAATGCCCTGTTTAAAAAACACATGACCGCAAAGGTAATGGAATCATATGTGAGTAGTTTGTTGCAACCCAAACAAGGGACGTGTAGCAATACGGGAACGCGTAGACATATCCTATCCATCGCATGTGTGAATCAGTGTGATCACCTTGAAAGAGAACTCCTGAACATTGTGCACACATGGTCCCTGTCTACACAATAGTTTGCGAGTGACGAAAGTCTGGAGAAAACAAAATTGAAACACGTGAAGGATCGACATGAAAATGGTGGATTATATTCAAAATCAGCACTCCAAAAATGTGGATGAAAGACCCGTGTGTGGTGACTAATGCTTAGCATTATGTACAGACCAATGCATGGAGTCTGTAACATTGGCGATTAATCGTGCGGAAGGAAAGTCATAGGGCACAATCAGTTTATGCCACTCGCCAACTTACCATCGACCGCAAGGATTAGAGAAGATATATGAAGGGTGCACATATCAAACGAACAAGAACGCATATCCTGGATCGCTAGCCAATGTAACATTATCCGAGAGAATGTGATGCTCCTACTGCTCGATATGGTGCAGCCACAGATTCGGGAACAACGCATGGCGCCTATGCTAATTTAAGATTGCTAGCGGGAAGCTACGCGTTAAGTTAAGACAGAGTTTAGCATTGTGACTTGTCGCAAACCCTAATTTCTGAAGGAGCCCACGTAACTTGAGACGAAGTCACTCGAAAGATTTGACGGAGAGATACTCCGTTTTCGTTTCCGTCTGCCTTGATGGCCGTTCCGAAAATCTGGGCGCGAAACAGTAGCCTAGCGGATTTCGGAACAGTGTGGCAGCCGAGCCACCCAGTTTGTGGATTCGATTCTGCAGTGGGGACAAAAATCTGTTGTGCACAGGTGGTCAGATGTCCAGTACAGTAGGTGGCATGGAAATTGTTGACACGTGGGTGAATGTGGGGATTTGCCCTGTCCTGTTTCTATAACTTCCCTGTCTGAGGCACGGAGGGGTGGAAAGTGCCCTCTACTTGCACTGTAGGCCCCCTCGGAGCACAGGGTCGCTAGTGTAAGCCCTTCCAAAGTTACTTACCCTCATTGATACTCAAATTGTGCCAGAGACGTTTTGCGTCAGTACTCAACCTCGATTTCTCATCGCTGATTGGTGCTCGATTTTCAATCACAATTTTCACACTGATAACACTCCCGAAATGTGACGAACTAGAACGCAAAAATTACTGAACTCAAATATACACTATTGTGTCGAGGTGCTATTTAAGAATAGACAAAAAAACATTGAATACTGAACCCATTAAAATTTGTATCAGGCGCAAATTGCGTAAAGAGCAGAAAAAAAAACCATTGGAAAAAATGATAGAGACTTGGAATAATTCAACGGATTTGGGTTGACATCACCATTAACCCTCCATCGACCGTGGATCTGCTGACCTCTTACGGAAGAAAAACAAAATTCCCTTTGGATGGCATCAATTCTAAATATCATGTGACAATATGTATAAGGTTAATGTGATTCTGAATGGATGCCTTTTAGCAAGGGGGTTATTTTTAATTGCCCACGAGTAGTAGGCTTTGTTTGGCGGTGTTGTTTTTCCAAGCAGATAATTATATGCACTTGACGACTTCCCGTATTTAGGGTTAATATTTCCAGACTCTGTCTTGGTTGTCGAAACGTTTTAGTATGTTTCCTTCCTTGTTGGGTATGTGCGGAGCTGCTGGTGGAAACATTGCTTCAGGATTGTGCTTATAGCTAGTAGAATCAATATTTGCACAAACTATACTGAATTTTTTTTGGTTGATTACGTTTGCAAACTGCTTCTGGCATGATTTGAGTATCAATGAAGCTGGCCGTTTTAGAAATTCTCGTTGCTGGCTTCGGAATTTCGTCGGGATCGTCATAATGGTAACCATCTTGGAAGTTCGTCATAACGGTAACCAGCTGGCGACATTATGACAGCCACCAGCAGTTCATTGATCGGTGCACAGTGGAGACTCCCGACGTTTAGGACGCGTTACAGTTTTAACATCGATCCTGCGAAGGATCGGTGATTTGCGGGTACAGTCGCGAATTAATAGTTATTTAATTTCGTTATCTGTCGCCAATGTACAGTGTTCCCCTCGGAGTCACGCGATCGATGTGCCCTTGCCACACATCAATCGTGCAATTTTGACCAGATCGGGCGATTTTGCCCCATGATTTCTCAAACGTGTCCCTTGAGAATTGAGGTGGGCCCGCGATTGCAAAAATGCAGTCGTAGCACACCGATCTGACGATCGATTTGACAGGGTCGGTGAACAGCCCCTAACCTTCCTCGGTATTTCAATTGTAACGCGTCCTCAGTCAATTTAACTGTCAGGCAGGCAGAGCAACAGTTTTGGCTGACAGCCGTCCTTCAAGAGTCTGGGATGGTGCACCTTGTTTATCGAGAGAATTTCTCCAGACCCGGAAACGGTGATTTGCCGTTGCATACGTGGTCTTGAATTGCTACCGTGGTCGGACAATTAGATGATAATTGCTCGAGTGGTCTTGCCAGAGGTTTCCTCTGGCTTTTTTTTTATTCGGCACATTACCCAAAACCAGTTTTTAGCCCTGAAATTCTTTCGTCGAACTTGTCTCTTCCTGCGAAAGTGTGACGCACCCCGAAAGACGTGCATGAGGGCGGCGCTGTCACTGTTCGGATACGCGACAAAAATCGGCACGGTAATCTAGGCAAACAAGTGCGCTCAATTTCGGTCCATATCGTAACCAATCCGCGCATAGTTATATGATTCCTCGATCATATACTCAGTTGCACGGATGGCAGTAGGCGTGACCAATTACAGAGTGCGCTTGATTGGTCGAATTTATGCGTCGGGCCTCTTCTGACCTTGCGCGTCCATTAAGACGCGGTCATGTAAGATTGCGCTCATATAAAACCGCACATTTACCTATATGAGCGCGCATATGTGATGCTTGAATGCGTATGTGATCTGTTTTATTAATATAAAACCATGTTAATAAATTTGAGAGATGTTATCACTACCGGCGTTTTGCCATTATACCTATATCAAACTGTGCATACCTCTATCGTATAGCGTGATATAGGTATAATGGCTGTCAGAACATTATAGCTGATACATGTTTGTAGGCCATAGTGTGGTAGCACATATGGGGTACAGATTCCTAGGATTTGCTATTTGTACCAATTTGTGACTTAGTCATTTCATTCCCTCTTCTCATTGTTTCACATGGTATAGAGCTAGGTCCCTCCAGGACCGATTTTTTTTTGGGCCCACCGAAGCGCGCCCCGAGGCGCGGTTTTTTTTTTAGCGACCCCTCGAGTCGCCCTCTCCCCTGCGGCCTCGCCGCCCACTCTGTCGCGGCCCCGCCCTGACCCTTACGCGGCCCCGCCGCCTGCTCCTTACGCGGCCCCGCGCCGGCCCCTTACGCGGCCCTTACGCGGCCCCGCGCCGGCTCCTAAGCGGCCCCGCGCCGGCTCCTACGCGGCCCCGTCCCCGGCTCCTACTCGGCCCCGCCACCGGCTCCATTGCGGCCCCGCCACCGGCTCCATTGCGGCCCCGCCCCGGCTCCTACGCGGCCCTGTCCGCCGGCCCCTTACGCGGCCCCGCCGCCGGCCCCTTACGCGGCCCCGCGCCGGCCCCTTACGCGGCCCCACCGCCGGCCCCTTACGCGGCCCTACCCCGGCTCCTACGCGGCCCCGCCGCCGGCTCCTACTCGGCCCCGCGCCGGCTCTCACGCGGCCCCGTCCCGGCTCCTTACGCGGCCCTGCCGCCGGCCTCTACTCGG